GGCCGTCGGGCCGCTTTCAAATTACGAAGGCGGTTATTATCTGAGCCCCGCCAGGCTGTGGGGAGCCGTTGGTTGCCAGCCCCATCCGCTGCTGGAGGGAGACGGCGAACTCGGCACACGCTTTTTGTCGTTCCAGTGAGCTGGAAGTAACTTGACGTGAAGCCAGCTTAACCTTTCCCTCGCTCGTTTGGACTGACCTGAAGCGTGCTCCTCGTGTCGCGAAGAGGAGCGGAAAAACGCATTCCCCGTGACTCGATTGCCTAATGCTTGATAATTCCCTTTTTGGTAATTGCCGGTTATTAGCATAATGAAGCAGCAGCCGTCTGAGGTTATGTGCAAATACGGCAGAACTGGCACTCGTTAAGTGAGGGGCAACATACAGAGACTCCTGCGTGACTAATGGAATTTGATGAGCAGCATTAGTCCTCTTTCTGAAGCTAAAAGTTCCATGCAATTTTCAGTGTTTTTATTTTATAGTTCTCTTTTTACTGCTTCGAGACCACCTGTACTAAAGAGAACAAGTCCCTTTCAATGAAATATTAGTGAAGGCATCAATTTTTTTCCATATTTTCCCCTTCCTTGCATATTTGTTCAGGAAGAAAGATCTTTGCTACTAATGGTTCTGTTTTTAAAATGGTGCCTCCTTTTTTTTTTTTTTTTTTCAGCATTGAAGGTCTTCATGCTATCGTAGTCTCAGATAGAGATGGTGTGCCTGTTATCAAAGGTAATTTCCAACTCCTCGCTCTGCACTGTGACTGAAATCCTGGTTGAACAGCAGGGGGTGGAAAAGTGCAGCAGAACCTTCTCAGGTTATGCTCCATAGCTGAATATCCAAAACTGAAGAATTAAATTAGACTTCAAGTTTAATAGTTGGTTATGTACCTCTTGAAGTTTATCCCTGTGTTTGTGTATATACAATGTCCTCAATAATTGTGGGCCACAGAAATTTTCATCAGTGAATAGGGTTGGAGTGGTGTAAGGTGCTTGTATCTTCAAGTCACTCATGGGCTGATACAAAGTGCTAGAGGGAGCTTACTGGTATTTTGTTGGCTTGGCTGGTCTGTGCTCAGAAGCAATTGCATCCAACTTTTACACATGTTATTTAATTTAGTTTGCTTTTTGGTGCTGTAATTTTTGTCATATCTCTGCAGTCTTTGTTTAAGATGTTTTTATGTTGTAGGCAAAGTTGTTGGAGAGTACTGATTAAAGTACTGCAGGTTTGTTTTGTTTGTTTTTAATGTCCCAAAGTACTTAAATGCCTAGTAGAACTTGCACATCTTCACTTGTTTTCATTCAAGTGACTGTGCCGGTAGTCAGTTCAAAGGCTGGAACTGGTGGAAACAGTGAGGGATGCAGAGCCAAAGTGACATCAGCACAGGCTGTGCATCGTAAAGGAAAAGACTGTTTCTTAGGCATGCTAGGGAGGACACTGGTATAATGAGCATTGATCATGAACAGAATATTAAATGATACACCGCTCACAAAATTACCCTGTACTTGCTGCGGAAGGATGCAAGATATGTTATGTGTTCCCCAACACCAGCTCTGTTTTTGGCAGAGCACTGGGCTGGATAAGGAGTTGTGATGCAGTCACAGATAACATGTAAAAATAAGAATCTTCTTGTTTGTTCCAGTTGCCAACGATAATGCTCCAGAACATGCACTGCGACCTGGCTTTCTGTCCACCTTTGCCCTTGCCACAGATCAGGGCAGTAAACTAGGACTTTCTAAAAACAAAAGTATCATCTGCTATTATAACACGTACCAGGTGAGTAACCTCAGTGTGGCCTCTTCTCAGTGATCTGAGCTGTTCCCGAGCAAGGGAGAGGTGGTTTGAATTCTGCTAGATTTCCACTTGGCTGCTGTTGAAGTATCTGTGTTTTATTTCTCACACCGCTTAAATGGCTAAGCTGAACTTTCGCACTATTTGTTAAGCTTCTCTTATAGTTCTCAAAACTGAGATTTACTGGTTGAAAATGGTGAATTTTTCTGAATGGGTAGTAATCAGGAATTTGCAGCAGGTGCTGCTCATATGCTCATCTGCCTTCAGAATCTGTTACAAAGGGTTTATGACAGTATTTGTTTGTCATTGGTGACACCTAAATTTAAATACACACATGCAGCCTACTTCATAGCTGATCTTGCTGCTAGTATGACTTTGAGGTAAGAAAGCTTTGAAATGCCACTTGTATTTTTCACAAACTGGTTGTGTCCTGAAAGCCGTCATCTACCCAGTTTCTGCTGTGTCTCAATTTCTAGTGGTCTTGAGAGTTTTTTTTATTGTGACTGCAGTAAACTGGCCAGCTGTTTAGCCTTCAAAATCTAGCTTTGGAAAATAAATGGGTGAATGAGTTGGTTTACACACGTTGAGTACATTGCTTTAATTCTCTTGATGCTACTAGTGTATTGTACTCAGGATTCCAGTTCTCAATTAATGGAAGAGGAGATACTGCTATATGCTGAAGAGTGTTTTAAAACAATAAACCTGCCTGCCCCTGTGTTGCCTGCAGAGAGTGTGGTCTTCGCAGGGTTTGTAGTAGGGTTGGATTTTGGGTGGATAACACTACAGGACATGGGAGGGAGGAAAATGCCAGGCTTTCCACGTGTGGCTTCCTGTACTGTGGTGTGAATTCTGTTGGTGTTTGTAACCATGAACGTGAAAAGTCAGTTCTGTGGCTCTTGCTGCTCCTTTACCCTTTAAAGTGAGGAGGAGGTTTATTCCAGAAAGAATTTGTGTGTCAGAGCTCAGACATCCAACATGTGTTGGTTGCTGGCTGAAGGCTGTTCTCTCTCCTTGCAGGTGGTGCAGTTCAATCGCTTACCTTTGGTAGTAAGTTTCATTGCTAGCAGCAATGCCAATACTGGTATGTCTTCATGTGTGTTTGAAATGTTGCAGTATTTTAAGGCCCAGGTGTTTAAATAATTACCCAAATTATTATAAATAATTTTATATAATATATTTATAAAAGTATATTATTATATAATATAATAATATTATATATGTATACAATA